GACCGACTCAAAACATCCACTTTCGATTTTTGCACAACAGCCTACTTTCTGCGGCCTTGCTAGCCAAAAGCACAAGGCCAAGGCCGGCGTGATAGGGGTGTGTGGGGGGTGTGACACCCCCCATCAATGATTTTTAGTCGGCAAACTGGACCCTTAGTCGGCAAATTGGACCCTTAGTCGGCAAATTGGACCTAGTTAGTCGGCAAATGTGGACCCCCTTTCGATATAGGTTAGATAGTCGGCAAATGTCGTCATGACAGTTGGCAAATTTTGGAAAACGAGGACCTTGTTTTTTTTTTTTTTTTTTTTTCAAGTCGGCAAAAGTTGTAATGGCACCCCCCCCCCACGTGACATCTACTCGCGCCGGCCCTGCACAAGGCAACAGATTTTCAAAAACAACAAATGTAAAACTTGTGGTAAAATCGAGGACAACCTTCACATCTTTGCCTACTGTCCTCCCTCTGTTGAAGTTTGGGAATATTTTAAACATGTATATAACTCCAAAAGGGTTTTTCTCCAATAAATTCGATTTTCTCTATCGGAACCGCAAATTTATCGGAAAAAAACCCTATTTCGCAACTGTTGTTGACACTCACTCAAACCATCATGAGTGAGATATTGAACAGCAGATGCCACCACATGTTTAGTAACATGAAAATCAATCCAATGGCAGTGGTCAGGGTAATAATCAGGAAAATCAGGAATATTATTACTTTAAAATATAATTATCATGTCCGTAGAAACACTACGGACATTTTCTGTCAACTTTTTTGTGTTAAAGATATTAGAAAACGGAAGACTGAAACTAAACATACGAGCTAAACTGACACGCTAGCTCAACAAAAGAACTATATGTTTACTGATGTTTTCCATTTCTCTACGAATTATTATTTTTACAACAAAATATTATTATTTATGTTTAAAAAATTACTGCCAGCCTTTATTTTATGAATTATAATTTTCCTTTTTAAATGTTTTTCTGTAGAGTACGTAATGTGATGTTTGTGTAAAAGTCTTGTAATTTTTTGCTGTTATATTATTAAAATTTCCTTCTTTTAAACAAAAACTTCTTGAATTCTTTTTTAAAAACATCTTCCTCTTTAACTTTTTTAAACCTTTCGATTTCTTTCCGCACAATGGCACTCAAATCAAAAAAAAAAAAAAAAAAATACAAAATAATACAAAAAAATATAAAATCGAAAAATACAAAAAAAATATAAAATACAAAAACAAAAAAAAAAAAAATGATGTTTTATCCCACTCTAAAAATAAAAAAATGTGCTAATTATATAATTATCAGTTTTGCATTTAAAGTATAAAAGACATACAATAAGGAATTATAAAAACATATTTTACTTGACTGTATTACTACATGCTTGGTCATAATGGAGGGGTTTTTTAAAACCCCCCCCCCTCAACCTTAAAAAGTGCAAATAACTAAAAAATATTTTTTGAAATAAATTATTTCATTAATTACAGATGCAATTCTAAAATATAACAAATTCTTTATTGAGGGACTGTAATTTGCCTATTAGTCAAAAGTCAATAGCAGTAATAAAAAGTGTTCTTAAAATAAAGAATTAATAAAATATGATAGATGTATTCTTGTCAAAAAATAGTAATTTATGAAATATTTTAAAGATGACTTTCTTTAAAAATATTGTCTTGGCTTTTAGTAAATGATTGCAATAATAAATTCCATAAATGAAACTATTATAATAATCATTTTTATAGATAGACACCATGTGAAGGTAAACCAGAGCTGCCTATCAAAAATTTTGGTGAAGTCACAACATTTGCTTTATGTTTTTGTCAATTCATAACAATTGCAGTAATTTTTTTGAATAAAATAAGATAACATTATATGTAATATATTGTGTTATCTTATTCTATTATAACACATTATATGTAATATAATGTGTTATAATAAACTGTTTAATTATTTTAATATTATTATTAAAAAAAAAGATTTGTAACAAAATTGAAACAGGTGAAAGGAAAACCTATTCCTTTGTGTATTAAGTCGTTTTTTCTTATTGTCATTTTTTTCTACTCTGCAATTATATAAAACACATTAGCAAGTGTTTGGATCATCCATTCGTGGTCTAGTTCCTAATTTCCTAGGAATTCTCCCTAACATAACGTCTTCTAAATCATATAGTTGGTAGTTGGATAAGTGTTTAAATGAATTTATAATTTCATTAACTCTCAGTTTTAATAGTTCACGCTCTAACTTCCTTTTATCTTTTTCATCAATTTTTTGGCGCTTGTCTATGGCAAATCTCAGCTCGAATTTTAGCATGATACAGTCGATCTTTAAATCTGTGCTACATCATTTTAAGAAGTTCTTCATCAATAGAGCATAAACTTGTTGCTGATTCTAAAATGTTTGGCTTAAACGATTTTCCAAAAAAATCAGTCTGTCTGCAAAACAACCCTGCTGGGTTGGATTTGCAATCTTGAACTATTTATATAATATTTTTCAGAACCTGGATACCAGCAACATGATCAAAAGTTGCATGCTCTGATGTTACATAAAACATTTTCATTCAAGGTCCAGTAAGAAGTTTTTCAAATACTGCTAGCACACACATTTGTTTGATTGCGGCTACACTACAAAATGCTTCTCGAAGAGTCGCTTGGAAACTTTTACACTTTACTGTTCCAGTTGTAAGATATTGTTTAAACTCATCGTAATGCTTTATCAGAATAAAACAAGTACAAAAAAGAACACAAATGCTGTTTCCACGATACTTTGGATTGATACCTCGTTGCAATTTGTTTTTGTCTAAAAAACTTACAAAACCTTGTGAATCACCTTTTACATCTTTACATCTCATTTTGTTTACACATGTAAAAATCTGAATAAATAAAAGCCACATGATCAATGGCATTACATATATGGTTTTCATAATCATGAGTTTACTTACTAATTATTTGTTTTAGATTGTCTATATAAAAAATCAACAAAAAATAAGTATATAAGTCTTATATATTTATTTTTTGTTGATTTTTTTTATATAGTTTTTGATAGTTGTATTCTTATTAAGAATACAACTATCAAAAACTATATAAAAAAAATATCAAAAAGTTATGTGATTGGACAACATTGCACACATTAGTCATAGTATAATTAACAACATAATATATTTAACAACAAACAAGATGCAAATCAAATAAAATTATGTAGTTAAACATTTTTATTATAAATAAATATTACAAATTAAATAATATGTTATATTATTATATTATACTATAACAACCATTTTATTAAAATGGTATGTAAAGTTTACTTGTCTTCGAGTTTACTACTAGTAAACTTGAAGACAAGTAAACTTTAACTTAGCTAAAGATAATCATGAATTTGACAAGTTGTTGCTTTTAGTAAATGCATCAACTAGTATAACTAGTTGTTGTATTAGTATTACTACTACTAGTAGTACTAACAGTAATACTATTACTGTTAGTTTCTAAATTGATGTTGGATAGCTCATTTTCTAAATCAACATATAACATTTTTTTAGTATAAATTATAAGTTTCATTTTTTTATTAGAAAATTTAGTAATTTAGTTCAGAAAAATCAATACATGTTTATATATATATATATATATATATATATATATATATATATATATATATATATATATATATATATATATATATATATATATATATATATATATATATATGTTGTTTTTGTTTTGTTTTTTTAAAAGGTTTGAATTAGTCTTGTACTATATACATTGTCCCTACAATAGGGTTGAGGTGCACAAAAGTATTATTGTAATACTTATACTATATTCAATATATTATATGTATAAGTATATGTGTATATTGTATATGTGTATAGTGTATATCATATAATGACTTTTACTAACCAAATCTTTATCTTAAAGCAACACATGGCAATATTTGTGTTAGACAACAAAATTTGTTTAGTAAAAAGTATTTATATTTTTGACGAGACAACCTATATTGTGTACTAGTAACTTTTGACAAAATCAAATTTTCTTATGATTCAAGTCTGTTAGGAATATTTAGCATTAAATTTAGAAAAAGTTGAATATGTTGTAATTTTAAATGACAATTTTCTTTAGTGTCTTGCTACACTTGTTATAGTTTGTTGAAGTTTGTACATAGTTTGTTTTTGTTCTTGATAACAAAAGTGCTTTGTTATTTATTTTATTATTTATTATGTTGTGTCTCAAGTGTTTTCTTTTAATAATAGCATAATTATATTAATATTGTTTGTAATAATACATTCCATAGATAATAATTTAAAAAAATGATTTTGATCATATAAATGACATCATCAAAATTGCTTTTGATGATTGTCTGACAAAACGAAACAACCTAACATGTAACTAAAACAATTACTGCAAAAAAGAGTAATAATAATTAAATAAAAATAATAATCTTAATATCAATAATCATAATAAAAACGATAAAAGTAAAATAGTTACTTCATTAAAAAATAACAATAAATAAACAAAACAAAAATTATTCAATTAAAAGTATAGAGTTTTCATAATAAATGACAATATTAAAATAAAAAAGTAAATCATATCAAGCAAACACATATCGTCACTCCAAAATAATAAAATTTAAAAAATATTATTTTTTCTTTCTTACAAAATGGAGCAATTTTCATATTTTATTTTAATTCCTTTTTAATTACTTTCCATTTTCCAATGTATTTTTTTTTTTAACTTTTTTTTTTTTTTTTCTTTCCTTTTTCTTTGTTAATTTGTTTGATTTTTTTTTTTAATTTTTTTTAAGTTAGATAACAAATGGTATTTGTGGATGGTCCTATATGACTGACCACATTTACTATTAAAAAATGTAAAGATTATATGAATGATTAGATTGATTATGATAAAAATATTTTGTATAACTCTGGTTAGTTGTTTTATGTATACTTTTACAAATATATATTTTTTTTATAGTATAGAATTTTTTTGTTTGTTTTTTTATTTTGAAGTATTTTTCAAACATTTTTTTACTATTTTGATTTTTTTAGTTACATATGACTAAACAAGAGAAAAATTACAAATGGCAAAAGTTTCTTCAGACTTTTTTTTCAATCAACAACAGTAAGAACTGATAAATTAAGAAGTAAACAGATTTCAGAAAAGTCTTTGTCCTACCAAGTGATGATCATGATGATTGCGATGATGATATGATATACATGATAATGATGAGCATATGAAATTGAGATGGTGATCATCATCATATCATGATGCTGGTTTACTTTCAGTATTTTATAGTAATGTATATTATAACAAATTTGTATATATAAGTTCAGAAACTGACACTCCACATTTACTGAAAAAAAAGAAAGTCGTAAATAATAAAAAAAGACACTTGCTCTAGCCCGTGCTATTTCTCCTTTAACATTTTTATGTATTGAAAATTTGACTTCATCAGATCATTTAAAATTAAATAACTTTTTAAAACAAGGCTCTGCTACTTTTTTTATACTTTTTTTATTTGAATATTCTTTTTTATTTTTGTAACTGAGTTCCAATATGTTCTGAAACAATCTTTTAGTTAGTTTATGTAAATAGGACACAAATATGTATCAAAATTTATCAAGTTAAATTGATGGACATTTTTTCGAAATTTTTTAATGACGAATTTATTTAAAAGAGTGCTTTATAAGGTGACAATTTTTTAATTTATTTTTAGCGCTTTAATTCTAAAAAATGTGCTTTGATTAAAGAAAAATGAAAATATTTTGTTGCCTATTGAGATGGTATCAACTTAGTTGCGTGCTGATCAGTTGCTGGATGAGTTAAAGCTCTCACAGCTCCCTAAATCAGTATTGCATCATCAGTTGCATCTAATGCTAAAATTGAAGCACATAGTAAGCATTAGTAAACTGAATTTAACTGTTTCATTATTGTTAATTTTTTGTTATTTTAGTTTTTGGGGTCTTAAGTGACATCCAATAGATGTTTATCTGTAAGATGGTTTCTTGCAAATGTGAGCAAAAAAACACTTCATTGCATTGGTTAATAGTAATCTTGCAATTTACTCTTGGAGTTATTTTTATATAATTTTTTTTTTCGATAATAATATGAACTTGTCTTATGTTTAAATATTGTTTTAAATTTTATATCTAGTGTTATTTTATTAAATAAATACAATAGGGTTGAGGTGCAGACTTTTTTTAAAAAAGATGTTTTTTAATAATCCTAACGTTTATATATGTGAGTGTAATGTACATTTTAATCATACATTTTAGTTTAATTGTTTACTATTTTTCACACATAGTTTAACTTTGTGTAATTTAGATGCTGTGAAAATAAAAGCTTTCACCTCAGGAGCATCAGGAGAAGAATTTAAACATTAACTGAAGAGATATTTTTTGCTTTTTGGGGATCGAAATGGCGGACGAAAAGCTCGAAATAACAATTTGAACTTTTAATAATATTTTTTTATTTTTTATTTCATCATTTTTCAACTTACTTTTGGTTGGAAATAAATTTCGAAAATACTTATTTATTTTTTTCGATATAAGTTGGAATAAATTTCGAAAAGTACTTATTTGTTTGATTCATGCGGGATAATACATTTGTACAAAAACAGCTAATAATAACGTCCTAATGTATTAGTAAAAGGCAACACTTTAGTAAAAT